CTGCCTGCTCTGCTGTGCAGACAATGGCAGGATTCAAGGCAAACGTTGATTTTGGATCTGCTCTCCACCTCTGGCTTGGAGTTGGAGCCTGATCCTTACGGCTGCAAACGCTGGGAGCCAAAGGCTACAGAGCTCCAGAAGGAGCTGGAGGCTGCAAAGCCCATCCAACACGGTGCCCACAGACATGTTGAAACCCCAACTTCTCCATCTGCTAAAAAAAAAAAACCCCAGGTCTTGATGGAGAAAACATCCCCGTGTCACGTAGCAAAGAGGTCAGGCCTCGACGGCAACTCACGGGACTCTGAGACCTCCCCTCCCAGAAAGCACAAAGAAACCACAGAGGAGAGGAATGGAACCCTCCAAACCACCCCAAATCCGTGGAAATGAGCTTTTAATGGGGCCAAAACAATGAGCTCTTCTGTAGGGGTTTTGCAGGAAGGTTGAAAACGGGGCTAATAAAGCGGCTCTCGAGTTCCAGCCGAGCTCGTGGAAAAGATCCCTCTCCCCTGTGCAGAAACAGGGATGAGATTGGACAGAGTGAAAAATAGAGCCTTGTGTTCGTCAGAAAACACGGGATTTTGTGCCCTTGGTGACAAAAGAGGGACATAAATAACATCTAAATAGAAAGGGGTGAGCGAAAATTGGTGATATTTGTAATTAAAGGCTTCGTTCTGCCCCGGCAAAACCTCCTGGAGAGACCAAAAGTGGTCAAAAAGGACTTCTGCTGGAGGGATTTGAACAGAGCTTGTTGCACACGGTTTACAGAGCCTTCCTCTCCCTTTCCTGGTGTTTCTCCCTGGGTTTTTTTTGGTATGTCATCACCCTGGAGCAATTCAAGACGTGAGACATTCCCTTTGGAAGCATCCTGGCCTTGTCTCACTGATAGCAGAGCTGGCCTGGCATTTTGTCATCCAGCACAGGAAGGGCCATTAGAAAGTTAAAATTCTTGGCAGAGGAACACTGGAATTGTGGCAGGAAGAGCTTTGTTCAGCCAGTGATTCCACCCCTTAACTGCACACCACGGAGCCGTTCCCTTCGGTGCAGTTTTTACGGCCGCTTTTCCAGGATAATTTAAAAATGTCACTGGTCCTAACAACCCCCCACTTCCCTGTGATTTATGGACCGAGGGCTCTGCATCAGGAGGATGGGCCTGAGCTCAGCTTTGATGTCTTCCTCTCTCCATTTTGCACCAGGAGGGTTTTCTTGCGTCCTCCTCAACGATTTTACTCAGCTGGATAAAACCACGAGCCTCTCTCCAGGCTCCCCCATTTCTCATTCCCCTACAAACCTCCACAAATCCTGCTTTTTTCCCCTTTTTTTCCCTATCAGCCAGGCATAGGATCTATTGATTCAGCCCTAAGCTGGCAACTTCTGCCCTCCTTACTGATCTTTTTGGACAATATAAACCCAATTTTTGGTGCTATGGTTTAAAAGCCTTACTTTAGGGAGCAGCCCCTCCCCACCCTAAATCCACCCCAAATTCGCCCCCATGAATTCCATGATTCACAGGCTGCTCATATCCCTCAGAAACTCTTGTGCCAGCAAGTTCTCCTTAGACATTGCACAGCCCCAAGCTCAGGAATTCCTGATCCCTCCAGCTCCCTGGGAATACAAGGAACAAAAGGAATCACAGCAGTGTCACATTTGTCAGGGGTGAGCTGCAGAAACAAGCCTGGAACTGAGCAACCCTGAACTTGGAGGATATTCAGGTCCAAATCCGAGCAGAGAGAAAAAAAAAAAGGAACCTCGTTTTCTTTCTGGAGTTGACCAAAATCCAGGCCCAAAAATCCAGCTGCAGCCTCCTGGGAGCTCAGGGCCTCCTCCACTATCAGCCTGGAAGATCTTTATTCCACACAAGGAAAGCATCTTTATTCTTCAGGGATGCAGGGACTGAAAGCAGAGCCCCCAACTCCAGGTGCCTTTTGTGTTAAGAGATAAGTATCACTGATGGGAAAGCACCAACATTATCTCTCCTCCTGCCTGTTCCCACCAACAGACAGCCCCGAGGAGATTAGTGGCACATGCTGCTGCTGTTAATTAGGGAGACATCATTAATCAGCAGCCCTGGTGACACCGGGCTCTGACCTTTGGCTCCAGCACAGTCCCATCTGCTGACTTCACCCCCCCTCAGGAGGAACCTTCCTGAGCACAAAACACAAACTCCTGGGAATCAGGGAAGAATTTACCATCTAGTTTTAGTATTTCCTGGATGCTGGGGCTTGGATGAGGAAACCTGAAAGCAAGAGGGAAGCATCTTCCCTTCCTAAAGCAAGAAGGGCTCGGTGGACATGGAAAAATCCCTCCTTTCACCAGCTCTAAAATTAACCCAGGGACTCAACAAGGGAACTGCTCCAGCATGGAGATTTTAGGCCTGGAGCACACCTGGGTGAAGAATAAATCTGTCCCTGTCTGCCTGTGGTTGTTATTTTGGTTCTCAGCCTTGGCTCGGGGAGGAGGGGCCATGGATGGAGATTTTTGGCAGCAGGTCGGGAATTGGGACCCTCAAATTGGATCCTCAGCTTTGATTCTCGACTCCCTGAGGTACCAAAGCACTCAGCAAACTCTGAGAGGGGCTCAGATCTTCCTAAATTTATCAAGTGTGAGCAGCAGACACGATGCTGCCTCTCTATTCCCTTATTCACATCCTTTTAGGGAATCACGGGGCACATTCCTAGAGGGGAGCAGTGATGCCCCAGCAAAGGTGATCCCACAGTTCTGTGATCATCCTGATGGGACATGCTGGTGATTCCCATGTGGGAAACAAGCCCTCCCAAGCAACCCCAACCCCATCCCTTTAGAGCATCCCTCCTGTTTATGTCGTTCCCACAGAAGGACTCCCAGATCCCTCAATCCCACCCAAGCAAAGCCTCCTCTTTCCGTGGTCTCCTTAGCAACCAAGGCAAGATAAGTGATGGAACAGAACCCTGTGGATGCTGGAGATGTCTCTTTTTATGGCCATGCAGGAAGGAGAGTGAAAGGCAGCTGTTTATGGCCACATGGTGCTGCTTTGGCAGGCGCTGGGGGCCCCTCAGCATCTGGACAACAGACCCAGACAATGGATTGGTTTTAATCTCAAAAGATTCCAGCTAAACTGATTGCAGATGCTCCCTGCCTGCTCCCCAGCCAGCGTGGGTGAGGCAGAGCAAGGACAAGAACAACTTTTTGTTGCCCACAGTTCCAGGGCAGGGCAGAGAAATTCCACAAGACACCCTCGGATTGGGGTCCTTCACCCCAGACATGGATCAAAAGGCTGGGCTGGACCCTCCTGGTTTCAGGTCCTGGAATGTCAGAGCACTGCAAGAAACCCCCCTTGCTGTTGGAATTTTAGGGAAAGTCTCGTGGCATCCTGCCAGGGAAGATCCACAGGCACAGATGTCTTCTGGAGATAAAAGAAGGTCCATCCTCCCCAGTCCAAGGATTGACCTCTGGAGCTTGTTGTTCCACTTTGGGAAAAGATTTTCTGAGGGGCTGAACTCAGGTCACAGAATCCTGGAATCACAGACTGGTTTGGGTTGGGAGAAACCCTAAAGATCATCCAGTTCCACCCCCTGCCACGGGCAGGGACACCTTCCATTAGCCCAGGTTGCTCCAACCTGGCCTTGGACACTTCCAGGGATGGGGCAACCACAGCTTCTGCAGGCACTAGAGACTGCTAGAATTATCCTAGCAAGGAAAATGCCTGGATTACAGGAGAGTGGGAGTATGGGAACAATCCCCTGGGAGCAGTGATGCTTCTTTCCTGGAAAAAAATGACTTGGAAGAAACCCCTCTGAGACAAGGAATGCTGTCAGGAATGCTCTAAGTGCTCTCCCTGTGTAGCTTTGCCACACAAATTCCATGTTGAAGGTCTGGATTTCAGTGCATTCCTCACCCCTTGTCTTGGTTACAGCAGAGCCTTGGAGAGGAATGAGAGGGAGGGGGAGCTCCTGAGGGATCCAGCAAGGTGGGACTCGATCCCAACATGCTCCATCCATGTTTTCCCACAGAACTGTGTGCCCCAGTCTAGGTGAGACCCAAATTTATCTGAGGCATACACTGGGCCAACTCACCCCAAGCCCAGGAGCAAAGAGCAGTTCCAGGAGCTCCCAGAAAACTTCCAGAGTTCTCCCTTAACTACCACAACCAGCCTGGAAATTGTTAAATTCTCACACCTCATGTGAAGACCCTCAAAAGAAAAGGCTTTGAGTTTTCAAAGCTTGATCAGACTGAGCTTTGAAGGCATCCCTGAGCTAAGCAGAGACCTAAAACCTTCCAGAGATCCCTTCTGTCCAGTCAGTCTGTGCTGCCATGAAAATATCCTTCAGAAAACACCTGCCTGAAAAATCCAACCCCCTTCTTTCTGGTTTAAGAGAAGATCAGGCAAGCCCTGCTCCTCCTTTCCTTGCCTTGGGGCTCCAGGAACCAAATAAACAGATTAAAAACCTCATTTTGCCCTGTCTGGGAGGCAGGATCAAGCCTGGCATGGGAGATCTCTCCCATCTTTACTTGGAAGTGCCCTGTGAGCAGAGAGACCCTCAAGATTTCCACCCCCTTGTGCTCTCAGGATGTTGGGAAGCTGAGCTAAGCAGAGACCTAAAGCCTTCCAGAGATCCCTTCTGTCCAGTCAGTCTGTGCTGCCATGAAAATATCCTTCAGAAAACACCTGCCTGAAAAATCCAACACCCTTCTTTCTAGTTTAAGTCTGTGTTGCCATGAAAATATCCTTCACAAAACACCTGCCTGAAAAATCCAACCCCCTCCTTTCTGGTTTAAGAGAAGATCAGGCAAGCCCTGCTCCTCCTTTCCTTGCCTTGGGGCTCCAGGAACCAAATAAACAGATTAAAAAGTCATTTTTTGGCACTTCCTCCTGTTTGGGAGGCAGGATGAAGCCTGGCATGGGAGATCTCTCCCATCTCTCCTTGGAAGTGCCCTGTGAGCAGAGAGATCCTCGAGATTTCCACCCCCTTGTGCTCTCAGGATGTTGGGAATCTGAGCATCCTGCAGGTCTGAGCCTTCCTTACCTTCACACCTGTGGCTGGTCTCGCTCTGCTTGTGTCCTGCAGGGCACTTGCACTCGTAGGAACCCACGGTGTTGATGCAATTCCCACCTTGGCAGAGGCCAGGGATGGCTTGGCACTCATCCACATCTGTGGGAAGAAGAGCAGGGACGTGAGGAAGCGCGGCCATCCCACGGATCCACGTGGGAGGAAAGCTTTGCTCCAAGATCACGTTTCATAAACCCCCTCAGACTGCACCAGAGATAAAGTGAAGGACAGGAAATGGCCCTAAATGGTATTCCTGGCTCATCCACACGAGCAGGAGGGAGGCAAAAGTCTGGGAATGCTTTCCAAAGCAAACGCCCGTGTGTCTGTCCCCCCACGGTTCGTTCCTCAGGGAAGGCTGGGGTTTAATTTTGAACCTGGAGAAACACTAGCCTCAATTCACCACCTCTCGTGGGGTGGAGGAGGTTTGAGAACTGCACTGTGGCCAGAATCTCTGAGCTAAAATGATCCTGGATGATCCCATGGGAGATGGGAGGTCCGTGGTGCTGCTCTGGGAGACACGACGACAGATTGTGGGAGTCACACGGAGAGTTCTCTGTTTTGGGGCTCTGTTCTCTGTGTTAACTGTTTTAGGGCTCTGTTTTGAGGCTCTTATCTTTGTTCCTTGTTTTAGGGCTCTTTTGGGGCCCTGTTCTCTGTGTTCCCTCTTTTGGGGCCCTTTTCTCTGTGTTCTGTTTTGGGGCCCTGTTCTCTGTGTTCCCTGTTTTGAGGCCCTATTCCCTGTATTCTTTATTTTGGGGCCCTGTTCTCTTGTGTTCTCTGTGTTTCCTGTTTTGGGGCCCTGTTCTCTTGTGTTCTCTGTGTTTCCTGTTTTGGGGCCCTGTTCTCCATGTTCCCTGTTTTAAGGTTCTGTTCTTGTGTCCTGTTCTCCATGTTCCCTTTTTTAGGGCTCTGTTTTGAGGCCCTGTTCCCTGTATTCTTTGTTTTGGGGCCCTGTTCTCTTGTGTTCTCTGTGTTCCCTGTTTTGGGGCCCTGTTCTCCGTGTTCCCTGTTTTAGGGCTCTGTTTTGGGGCCCTGTTCCCTCTATTCTGTGTTTTGGGCCCCTGTTCTCTGTGTGTCCTGTTCTCCATGTTCCCTTTTTTAGGGCTCTGTTTTGGGGCCCTGTTCTCCATGTTCCCTTTTTTAGGGCTCTGTTTTGGGGCCCTGTTCTCCATGTTCCCTATTTTGGGCCCTGTTCTCCATGTTCCCTATTTTGGGGCCCTGTTCTCCATGTTCCCTGTTTTAGGACTCTGTTTTGGGGCCCTGTTCCCTCTATTCTTTGTTTTGGGGCCCTGTTCCCTGTATTCATTGTTTTGGGGCCCTGTTCTCTGTGTTCCCTGTTTTAGGGCTCTGTTCTGGGGCCCTGTTCCCTGTATTCATTGTTTTGGGGCCCTGTTCTCCATGTCCCCTGTTTTAGGGCTCTGTTTTGNATTGTTTTGGGGCCCTGTTCCCTCTATTCTTTGTTTTGGGGCCCTGTTCCCTGTATTCTTTGTTTTGGGGCCCTGTTCTCCGTGTTCCCCGTTTTTTTGAGCTCTGTTTTCATCTCCTATTCTCCGTGTCCCCTATTTTGCTGCCCTATCCTCTGCATTCCCTCCCTTGGCTCCCTTGGCACACCCTCCTCCTCCTCCCTCCCTTATCCCAGCCCGGGCACATCCCCGTTGGCACCGACCTTGGCAGGCCCCGGTGCGGATATTCGGGATGAAGCCCCGGCGGCAGGGATGGGGCTGGGCAGGACACATCTCACAGGGGTGTCCCCAGGCCCGGCCGATGGTGGCACAGCACATGGTCTTGGTGCAGACGATGCCACTGAGCTGGCCCTGGCACATCTGGTTGTTCACTTGGCTGAAGCACGGCCCGGTCCGATAATCTGGGAAAAGGGAGGGGAAAAAAAAAAACCACATCCAGGGGTTAGATCCTGACAGGAACATGAGGATTCCTCGGCCGTTCGGGTGCGAATCGACGAGTTCTGAGGGGGGAAAATAAAAATAAAGCCCTGCAGTGATGAAAAGAAGAGAAATTTCAGGCCTGTGCTGGCTCTAAAATGAGCTCGAAATAAGAAGAGGTGGTTTCAGGGCTGCAGTTTCACCTGTTCTGTGAAGCAAAGCAATCAGATTTTATTTTATTTAGGAGCAAAGATACACCCCTGGAAGTGTCCAAGGCCAGCTTGGAGCAACCTGGTCTAGTGGAAGGTGTCCCTGCCTTCCTTAAGGACCTTCTTTAAGGTCCTTCCAACCCAAACCATTTTAAGTCATGATTAATTCCTTCAATTTAACTCTTAAAAGATCCCCTGGCAGTTTGAACTTTAAAACCCCAGATGCTGCAGAAGCAACTGGTGTTTCCCATTCCCAACCAGGATCCTCCCATCCCTTAAAACCAAAAAAAAAAAAGGATTTTTGAAGGGCTTTGCTTGTACTGAGGAATGTTGGGTTTGACCCTCGATTAGGGATATTGGCACAGCAGGAAACTAAATTCTGAAATAATAAGGTTTTCCCTTCTGCTGGGAATAGGTGATTTCGTGTAAGTGTTTGATCTGTGGCTGGAAAAAAAAGACCTTTAACCCAGAAAATTCCACATGAACTGTCTGAGGAAGTTAACTGCTGGTCTGGCTGAGATTTGCTGAGGGAATTTCGAGGTTGGAGAGTCCAGTAATTAGTGATTGCCTGTGAACCCAACTCCTGCATCAGCTCCAGGATTAACCCCCAGCTGTCTTTGCAGTGAAATATTTGGATTTGATGTGTGAAGCGACCAAAAAGTCGTGGGGGGGGGGGGGTTATACCTGAACAACGAGCCACAGGCACCCACAGGCAAAGGGGAAGAGTTTAACCTGGGCTAGAATTGTCCCACCTGAAAAACACACAAGAAATCCTGGGAAAGGACCAATTAGCAAAATAATTGCTTATTTCCAGCTTAATGCTCCCTCTGATTTGTGTTTCTCGAGCAGTTGGGAGCACAGTCAGGCTTGAAAATTAACTCTGATAAAAGTGAAACGAGAAGTTTGGTCTGTGGGTGTCACCGAGATCAACAGCAAGAAGGATTTGAGGGGAAAAGAAAGCACTGATTTTGAAGTGAAATAGGTGTAAAGGTGATGGGATCTCATAAAAAAAAGCCCTTTTTTTTTGGCAGCCTGAACAGAACCACGAGCCACGTTTGCAAAGGTGAGTTACCAAATCACCGTATATTGTTTTTTTTGACTCAAATTTTATCGAGATACCGAAAGCAGCAGAAGAAGACGCTCCTCAAAGGGACTCAGAAAGTCAGATTAATAAATGTATAACCCCAAACCAATGCAGGAAAGGGGGTGGACTTGCACCTCCCACCTCCTCTGGAGACGGAAGCACCGCAGCAAGAATTCCTGGAGATGGATCCTAATGAAAGCACAATTGTGAGGAGAACACCCCCTTTGAAACAAGCACTTGACAAAAATAGATTTTCCTATGTAGATTACTCCTTTGGAGGGGAATGAAGCCAAGGAAATTGCAGTCTGGAGGCCAGGAAGCCTGGCTGCCTTCCAGCTCCCATCTGTTGCTAATTCGAACGGGCAAATTATTAAATTTTTAATGAGGCACCAATCAAATTTTATTAAGGAAATACGGACACTTAGGAGATGTCTAAAGCCCTTTTCCAGCCCGTGTTACGGGATCTCATCTTCCAGGAACCTCAGTGCAGGGTAAGTTGTCCTTCAGAAGTCCTGGTTTTTCCCTGGAAAAGCAGAGGTGAGGTGCTGAAAAATTGGGATTTCTGCTTCCTCTTCCAAGCTTGCTCAGCTTTATAACAAGAGCCCAGTGGTGGGACAGGGATGAGTTCCACCTTCCCACCTCCAGGTGAAGTTCTCGGGACAGAGATTGCAAGAAATACCGGATCAGGCTGGATTTTTGGGAAGCTTCAACCATGGCAAGGTGGGTTTGGCTGCCTAAAAACAACCCCCCTGACTCCACCACCCAAAAGGACCCGGCCAAGAGTGAACATCCAGCGGGGGACAGCCCTCGGCTCCTCTCCCAACATCCATCAGCAGCCTCATATCCAGGCACTTGATCCTGTTGCCATATTAATTCCCAGCTAAACCCACGCTCGACACGTTCCATCTGTAAATTCCTTATCGCTGGGGTTACTCCGGGGTTACTCCGGGGTTACTC